TACTTAACAAAAAAATAAAAGAATATATAATACGAATACAACATGTAATTTATAAAGAGAATCATATGTTATCAAAGAAAATGATAATTTTATTTGCTTTTAATCGTTAAGTGTGTATGTAATACTTTTTACTTTTATGTAAACATTACATACTTAACGATTAACGCAAATAAAAGCATATGTCGTGCTTTGAGGGTACCTATGTGTTAAAAAATGAGAGGGTACCTGTGATATAAAAAATCAAATGAAGAGAGGTAGCCCGTGCCGCTGCAAAACCGAAAGTAGGGTGTTTTTATGAATTTAACATTTATTTTTGACAATATACTACCATTTGTCCGAAGATGATATGTATACGAACATATTAAATATGTATGATGCATATATAATCAAGCCACAGGTTCATTTCAGCCCGTAAAATATGTCGATGTGATGGGCGAAGCAAGACATGTCGATTTTTTGTAGCCTATTGTAAAGTTGCAGTACATGAAAATCGGGCACATGACAAATCAGCACATAAATTAAACATTCTAGTGTTCCGTGGTATACATCTTTTCTACGTGTCATACCTCCTTTCCTTATTACAATGAAATTTTACTGTATTGTTATCCATCGTTGGTTTGTTTTTAGCAGAGAATGACCTGTGCATGTTCAGAGAGGGTACCGTTTGAGCAGATTTCGCAAAGAGGGTACCGATATGGATATGCACCGTGAGTAAAGCTGGAATGTCGCCAAATGACCTTTACTGTGTCGATTAGACGTAAAACCCAAAACAAACAAACAAACAAAACATTGTTTTACCATAAGGTATCCAAGCATTGTCTAAATTTATTCGTCAACCATTTGGCAAATACAGAGACGTATAGGAGTAAAGTATTCAACTTAAATAATGATAATGGTTAAGTAAATCATAATGGAAATGCCACTTATATACCCAGTGGCTCTTATTATATTGCCATTGACAATGTCATTATGATGTCAGACAATTTAAGTCTTGTCACACAAATAACGCCAAATGACGAGGTTTATTGTGTTCTCTAATGCAGACACGATAACAGACGATTACTCTAATGAGAGTCAATGTTCTCGTGTTCTAGTTATTCTAATAAAGTTTTAAAAGAAATCAATCATTGTTTGTTCAAAGGTAATACAATGTATGTATATTATTATGATATGGTTTGTTTGATCATTTGTGCGTTTATTTGTTTGTTTGTTTGTTTGTTTGTTTATCTGTCTGTGTGACATGTTAAGCATTTGTGTATGAGACGGATCAAAATATGTAAGTTTAAGTATGTTAAGAGTAACTATTGAACAACGAGTAAGTTTTGACTCATACACGACAATATTCCCGCGTATTTTCTTCTATAATCTTTTTGTCTATGAAAACCAACTGTTCCGTTGAATTTGAATTTAAATTAAACCGAATAGAATATGTTTAGTTCTTCATAAAGCAGCTTACCTAAATTTATTTATTTATGAAGTGTTGCTTTAAAGCTTTTGATGCTCAATAGAAACTCACGCTATTTGGAATAAAACGCAAATAATAATTTCTGAAGTACGGATGTTCTAAGTGAAATGCATGCATGTCTAGGCCTAAGCGCTGAAGTTAAGTTCACTGTAATGCTCAGAGCAACCAGGAATGATTCAGGTAAAAAGGAAGCTTTATCATCTTTGATACAAAGTAATTGATACGTTAATCATTTTTAATATAAAACATTTGAACAGTCTGACAAATTTAATTTGAGCATTCGTATCCAGCAGTAAAAAGAAGCCCATCTTCTTTCCATATTAAATATTAATTACAAGGCGGCTTAATCTAACGATACTTACTTTTCCCAAGCATGCGTTGTGCAAGAATATTATTAAAACTACTGAAGGCTCTTTATAATTCAGCTGTGATGTAACAATAAACCTTAAATGAACCTTAATGTTATTATCTTTTTTTAATTTTTCATTATTTGTAGGGTATAGCGACAAACATTTTTAAATATTTGCTAGATTTCTATTCTATTGATTTACTAACCGTATTTACTTAGATAACCATATCATATGGAAGGATAAGTAACTCGTGCATTCGTTTCACGACGAGGAAATAATATGGTAATACTAAACTGCTGAAGGTGCTCGATCTTGATAGGACACTTGTGAATATATAAATCATTTCTCATATATGGCCGCACTAACTATGCCCAGAAGGACAAGAATTAGAGTAATATGATGTGTTCATTAGAAAGACTTATTATCTAATATCAAGGCAATCGTTTCTAATATAAAAGTAAATGTATTATGATAACAAAACAAGATTATTGATTGGTACATGTAAAAGTATATAACTTTGTGTTTTCAGTTCATTAATAATTTTGCAATTTTTTCACATTGTACTTGTGAAACCTAACGCTTAAAACATAAATATTATTTTTATAACACAAAAATCACCCAAAGAAATGGGAATTCAACATAGTTTGAGAAACAAAATTCCTGCACATGTTCTCTATACCGAATACATTATCCGGGTGTTTATTTACACATGACACATACAATTTGTTTCATAACGATATGTTAATCTTTTTCAAATTATATACGATGTGTAACATTTACGTTTTATACATATGCTTTGTTTTGAATATCGATTACTTGTTTTCTGTTAAATATAAGTTGCTGGTAAATTTGAAAAATGAAATGATACAGTTTCACTTCAAAACACATTTTCTTTTTTGAAATATTCAACTCTCCTTTAAAAGGCAACACAAATCAATCATATTTCAATATATAATACACTTTTTGCAATGTAAAAGTATTAACTTAATATGATTGAATGAATATAATTAACTAAATCTAATTTCTTACCACCATAAAATGGCGCCATCCGATGAATTGGTTATGTTATTCATAAAGAGATTCTGAACATATGTGAAACTACAGAAATATCAAAAAATTCATTAATGCATTGCTTTGTCTGAAGATCTCAGACATTAAAAAACGTGCCTTTGTGCAATTTTATCATTTTTTTAAAGATAGTTAAAATTTTCAGAATGTAAAGTTGTATCAAGTCAGGCTTAAACGTATAAAACCTTTATTGTAAGAATAATTGTTGGATATGGTACCACAAAAAATTATATGATAAATTATATAATAGACGAAAATGTAAATATTGATGTTGTCATTGTTTTCCAGTAAATAAACGTTACTTTCAGATATTGTTTGCGGGAACAAGTAATGAAAAAGGAAAGCAAGGAAATAGCAGAATATACAATTTTTACATTGTTATTTGCTTACAAACAATAACAATCACACAGATCGTAATGACCAGAAACGAATTTGGTAATGTCTGTAAAGCACAATTGTTAAATTTTAGATTAAATTCTTTTCACATCTCACACAGCCACAGAAGATTTGATTAAGGTTGATAAGTAATTTAGTAAATGGCTACACTTTAGATAGCGGGACATAAATTTGCACTTCACGCTAAACTATTTGCTAATAAAGATTGCTGTTTATACAGGTTGATAATTGTTGCCTCAAGAAATGCAGGGCATAAGTTTACAGACAAATCACTTTTATGCCAAATTTCCCTAAAGATATAGATAAAAGCATTGCAAATATGTGATACATTACTCAGGGTACGAGGCCGATACAAGGATTCCAACCTCTAGAAAAAAAGCCTTACAAAATAATTAAAGTCGACCACTCGTATTTCATACAATGATTTCTCTTTATGCTACTATAGATTAAATGTGTAAAGCGTACTTTTAACATGTTTAAAGTAATCTAATGGAACCGAAACCAAAAGGAAAGCAAAAACGATGAAGGTTGCAGACCACATTTTATCTGTCAAACCATTTTGACAATATGAAATATTTGATTGATTTAAAGTTTCCCGAATAAAGCATGAATATTTTAAAGAACAAAGTTTATTTTGTTGTCGCATTAGGGTTTAAAAAACATACTAGTTACTTGTTTTGTTTTGCGAAAATACCATTATCTTTGTCTTTATTTGTATGACAAATGTTCGAAAACATCATATCTAATTGAAAAAAAAATGTTTCAGCTTGAATTTAAATCTCTAATGAAGTTCACGCGGTACAATCACTTTACTTTTGGTGTCAATTTTAAATTACGAATCAAAGAATAGATTTTTTATTGAATTGGTTTTTATGACAATGTTAAAGTCATATGATGAGTTTTTGAAAGACCATAAAGTGCCCCAAACTGTGTGTGAATAATTGCAGACAATAGCGGACACCTGACTAGAGCCAGAATCATTATGTGTAGTCAGAATATTGGCTAAGCAATTTCAAACTTTCATACAAGTAACTGAAGAAATAAATATTTGTCCAGAGTTGTACTTCTTAAAATGGATAGAAAACAGCAAAGAATGTAAATAAAATATAGAAAATCATAATATCTAAAGAACGCAAAAACGGCAAAATTTAAAGTGTTGCAGGTTGGTTTGCTCCAGCCTGTTAATGGGCGGAAGTGGTACTTGCAAGCTACCGTCAACTCCAAAACTCCCCATTGTACCGGCTTTATCAGAGTTTAACATCTAAAAATGGAAATTGTGAAAAAACGGTTTATCCTTTTCAATGTCAATGATAATTTTGTCGTTTTAAATGTTATTAAATGCTTTTATTTGTTTGTGTTAGAAACATATATTAAAGGAAGGAAAATATCGTTTGATCTTGAGCAATTAATAAATAAAGGAATCTGTACATTCAGGAACAAAGTAAAAGTATTCCACTCAGGATGTACAACTCAATAGAAAGCTTATATAGCTGGTGATCACTATTATTTTAATTCTATAGGTATTCAATAATCAGCGTATGTTGTATAAGGAAGTATCAAGTAGTATATTTAACATGCCATTTATTCATCATCAACATCATGCATTCATGTATAACAAAGATAATAAGGATATGTATAACAAAGATAATAAGGATATGTATAGCAAAGTTAATAAGGATATGAATAATAAATGTAGACGAAATAAATACATATCCTGAGACCACACAAGATTGGTTTATTTAACCAAGATAATAAACAATTACAAGACAACATATTTATATGGTAGGTAACATACACTGTTATAAAGTCCTTGACATATATCTTAATTTAAAATAATATGCAAAATAAAAATTAGTGATATTCCATACATAGTATGAAATTATGTTTTACATACATAGTATCAAAATTTATTTTCTATACAATGTATGAATATATATTCTCTTTAATCTGTATACTGTAACCATACATATAAATTCCTTATCGATGTACAATTTAATTTTACATATTTCAAAATAATGTAACGTTTCTTTTGTTTATATTTAACACAGTGTTTTAATTTCAGAAATTACCTTGGTTTGATACAGCATACTTAATAATATCAGTACTTTTGTTAATCTAATTATTTAATTAATAAATATTCAACTTTACCATTATTGAATAAGTCAAACAAAATGAATTCAAGGAATTACAGTCATTCGTCATAAACATTTTTAAATGTATGTTATCATGACAATTTCCAACTTCGAATTCGATTTCTTTCTCTAGCGACCTATTTGTTCTTCTGTCTTGGTAATGTTTGTTTGAGAACTTAGGGGAACATTGACGTCATAAAGGTTAAATCATGGTACCTTGTATCAAATCAAAGAGAGACTAAATCTTTATCATGCATTAAGGCTAAATGTCGCTAAGTGTACAGCAGACAAGTTCTATAGTTGAGAACTTTTGTATTCCTCGGTCACCTTGTCAGGGTTGTAGATAAGCGTAAGTAACATAATCAGAGTGACGAGTATGACAAAGAAGACTATGCCAAAAAAGAAAACATAATCCATCGCATCAGTAATGTTCTTCCACTTTAGATCAAGGTACAGCTCGTCTTCTGTATCAGATGACATAACGCTTTGCTTGGACGTAGCTGCTTTTGACTTTACACGATGAACATGGCTTTTGCATGACCTACATTGAAGAAACATTACAATGCCATAAAATCGTCGATAAAATTTGCCGATTTCATGATTTCCATCATCTCTGCTGAGCAATCTAGCTTCAATAATGGTAAGTATCACGGCTAATGTACTGATGGAAACCATGAGGATAAGCCACACGGCCAAGTGTGATGTTGTGTCCGAATTCTTTGGAAATTCAGCAGCTACTATTGTGAGAAAAACAACAAGGGCCAAAAACACAGTAATGCCGTAAGAAGCTCTCTCTCCCGATGATAAAGGTAAAACGAATGTAAATAAATTCAGAATGGACAGTAGTATTACCGGCAGTATCATATTGAATACGTAAAATCGCGGCTTCCTCTCCAGCATTAACGTGTAACTTATTGAGGCAACTTCACTATTATCGGCTTGGAACGTAGATTTGACAAGCTTCCATGTTGAACTCTCGGAATAATGACTTTTTATTATTCCTGATTGAGAAAGCAGATTAACATCAGATTTCAAGTAACTCCATGCGATCAATTTAATGGTGCATTGTTGGGTGTCATACGGGTAATATGTAATATCAACAGAACAGGTTGACTTCATGACCTGAAACCAGAAAAAGAGTATGTCTAAATGCTATTGCATACCGTAACAAAAGTTTCCTAATAACATGCGCTACATTCCATTTACAGTTTTTGAAATAATAAAACATTAACAAGAGCTTGTTCCTGTTGATATAGAGGGCATATTTTACTCACGATCGCCAATTAGTATATCCACCAGTCTTGTGATTTTAATTCAAATACAGATACTATAGATTTTGAGGTAACAAAACAACATATATTGTATTCTATATTCATATTATGTTAGTATAATATTGTGTCATTTAGGTAAATCATTATAAGACATATACATCTAACCAATCCCTTTCGATTGATATAAGGCAGTTTGTCAAATATCTTGAAATCTATATACAAGAGTAAGTAAATTCTTATAGTTTGGTCTTTAAAATGAATGTTGTGTTTAATATTATGTGTGTTTTCTATTAAAACATGTAATAAATTAATTTGAATTAAGATAAATCACAAACGTGTAAATGTATTTATTGTAAAGAGTATAAAATTTCAAAATCTTTAAATCTGAAACCGTTAAGAGGATAACATTTTTATACGATTCCAAATTGCTTACGAACAGTGCAATTTATGCTCTCAGACAGTTTTAATGATGCGAAGATTCTTTTCCTGCATACAGAACTTTAATTTCTAAATCTTATTTTTTAATAATAATACTGTAATATGATTTCATAATACTTATACTGCTGACGCTTAAATGTTACTTGAATGCATCTAATATATGTAAGAATTGTAAGAGTACTTGAAATGGATCCCAGTAGACTGTACCATCATTTTCTACAATCACGTTCTGGTAGGAGGAACCTAGGCCAGTAAAAGTCGAAAATGAATTTCTCAGAGATATGTCCGGCTTCCAAATGTCATCTTGGGGCTAGAAACAAATATATTGCTTTTATTTTGTAAGTTTCCTTGTACAAACATATAATTTCTATATCGAAATGTTATGATTTGTACTTTCCGGTAAGTCAAAATGATAAATATGACAACAAATGAGGACAAAGATCAACAAGCCCATATTGGCGACGTTCACAGAACTACTGATTTCACATGAAAACATCTTACCATATATATATCTATGTCTTTGAATCTTCGTTGAATTTATTTGAAGCAACGTAAACAACTTATTTTTAAAATTCAAATCATAAACACGAATGGATAAGACAAAAAAAATATTGTTAACACAAACATACTTTCTTTATGTCACATATGAGTGAACACTTAATAGCGGTTTTCCTTTTTTGTTTGTTTGTTGTTTTTTATGTGTATGTGTGTGGTTTTCTTTGTTCTTGTTTTTTTTTCAGGGGGTTATAATTCGCATAGAAAAAAGAAACTTGAAAAATAACTTGTAGAAATATCCATACACGTTATTTGGCACACATTTAGATATAATCATACTTCTGAGATTTGAAAATATATCAGATATGTTAAGGAGTGGTAACAGTTTGCAGCAAATTCCTTTGATTTGTAATATTTTACTGGCATTCAAATATCTTTAAAAATGTATATACAGTTATATCCAATCTAAAATGTGAATTTAAATAAAAAACATAGTTCAAATACAAAACAAAGTTCAACTTACTACAAACATCATTGCAACGCCATTATATTGAGACGTTTGCCAAACCAGGCTTCTGTCTTTCCACATTATTCTTAAATATCCAGCAGTTGTTAGACTCTCCTCTTGTTCATCAAAGCTGATGATTGCTGTAAAAAACAAGTAAGATGATTACTGTTAAAAACAAGTAAGCACTCATTGTCAGCTCCTATTTATAAGGTTTCAAAATTATTCATTTTTATGTCCACATTTGATAATTTCACGAAATATCATTGTAATGTTTGCTGTATTTTGCCATGTTGTTTTTCTTCTCCTCGGAGTTATTATATAAATGTTTCCTTATCCAAAAAGCTGTGTTCTTATACTTTATTATACTATTTTATGTTGTTTTGTATTGTAATATACTGGAGAAAATGTGTTTTTTGATTGGATCACACTAACAATAAATGTACTAGTACGCGTACAATAAATGTGTTCCTTGATTTTTCATAACTACATAGCAAATAAAGAGTTCTTTGACTTGTGCACAATAACGCATGTAACATATATTACACTATACAAATACAAAATAGTGATTTTAACCAAAAAATATCACTGTGAAAGATAATCAATGAAATATATTAATTTTGGCAATAAAAACTTTAAGAAATTGAATATAAAATATTGAGATTATTAAAGCAAAGTAATACGATCATTGTCCCGAACGTTTACATAATACTTCTTTAATATAAAACAAATATGCATATCTTTTTTCAAATTTAAACATGCTGTTATTTGTAAATGCAATATATAGAGGATATTGAATGAGAGTAAGTTACGTAAATACTGAATTTATTGAACGAGTTGAATAAAATTATATTATGCGAGACTCTGCGTGCATCCATTGGTAAAATTTCGTAATAGAAATAAAAGTTTATTTAAAAAGAATGCAAGATGGTTAGATTGTTCAATGGTTAATGTGTATGCATTCTCAAAATGAAACGTGTGCGTTCTATTTTTTCATAATGGAACATTTATGCGAACTTTTGGGACGACCCTCGTAAATGTATGTGTCTGTGTTTTGTAATAAAGACTTTTAGAGAGAAAAACTGTAGCAAAATACTTACATGACAGATAAAATGTCAAAGAAATATTGAGAACTTCAGACACTGTTTCTACAGGTCGAACTTTGCTAGTGTAGGTGCCCATTAAATCATTTATGAGTGTATTTGTGTCATTATACGACTGTGCCGTAGTGCTGCAGCACAGCAGAGACAGAACTGCAAAAACTTGAAGAAGATATGGAATCATTGTGGTTGATAAGGTACCTGTATAATAAAGAAAAAATATATTCATACTGTGAAAAGTGTACGTTACACTATCCTTAAACAAAGACAATTGAGTGTGAGTTCGAGTCGGAGCATACTTAATCTACTTTACTTCACAACAGACAACTTACATCAAGCTGCTTGAAGAATGAATTTAAATACTTCATTACCTTCATTGTCGTACAAAATAACAAATATCGTATTTCGAAAGTCATCTGGAAGAAGTGCCAAATAATTGTTTGAGATTGAAGCGTTATGTTTTTCGCATTTACATCGGCAGAGGAAGTAGATGACAAACTTTGACGTCTTATGTCTTTGGTTTGAAATACCATAATAATTTTATCGATAATGTCAAAGTTATATTGCAATATTATTACAATTATTATTATTATTATTATTATAATCATCATCATAATCATCATCATCATCGTCATCAAAGAGCTTTATATTCGGTAAACAGAGATGATTGATGGGCAGGCGTCAGCTGTAAAATAAAACACAAGTCATATCGATTTAAGGACTATTATTTATAATAATAATATAATTTATAATTTACAAAAATGTATAAAAATATCAAATATTTTGGAGTTATCTTACCTTTTCGATGTAACAATAGAATTAAAGCAAGGCGAACAATTATCTCCCATGCTATTGTGAGAATGTTAACTTATGATACTATGACAGTAAAAGATGTAGAACTTTTATCAATGTATTTAATTTTGTTTCTTGGTGATATTGATTAATTCATACCGACCCTATCAGCTTGTAATCTCAAATAAACAAGATATATATGATATCAAAACGTGTAAAAGTCATAGGAAATAAGAATTTTTTATAAACAGAGAGAAAATTGAATCTGTTGATTTTTTTATTAAGGTATCTGATTTACATCAACAGGTAAAATGAACCACTGTAGCTGAACTTATCACCAAAAAGCAACAGACGAAAAAGATGGTTAAGGTAATTGTCTAATGAGTAACGTTTTGGATATATAAAATGTACATCGATATAAAAAGTTTTTGAATGATAAAATATAAGTATTTCTGTGGCACATTTGGCCTTTAAGAAGCCTGTCTGCACTATTTCATAAACGTTTAGGAGTATTTGTTGTATATCATGATAAGTAGTGTACATGTGATAATATTGTCAATCGTGAACCGGTACTTTGGATAGTTTTCGACGAATTTTACGACCGTGATTTTCTTTGATTTAAGCTGATTAATGACGTTTCCTGATCAACCTACAAGTAGTTATATATAGAAATCAGATTTTAAAATCACTTCAATTTTGCACTATACTGCTGACGGGAGGAGTTGAGAGGAAATATCTAATTAACGAAGTAATGATGAGATAATTAGACACAGTTGGGGAAATAAGATTATAAACATTTTAAGTGCATCTGTCCCTTGTTTACAATGCTATTCATATCTATATATGCCATATTTTGAAAACACTGACACAAATCCTTTTTAATTATCTTGAGAACAGAATAATTTAAATCAATTAAAATATTAGTATGTATATTTAAAGATAAATCTACATTGGTAAGTTGTAGCAAAGAAATAATTTTCAAGAAAGGTCTTAAACGTAAAACTGTCACGCAACGCGTTTTAAAATTTTCAAGGTCATTGGGATAGTCGATGGCTTTTCTAGGAACTTCGTTCCTTAAATCTCCGTGTGATTCATAATTTGCGAGAAGTTGTCTCTCCTTTTTAATGTTAAGTAGTTTGTGTACTATTAGTTGTTTATCAGTCATTTAATCGTGAAAACATTTGTGAAGGAATGAGTTTAACCATATTTCTTATAATGACTGACCTATAAGTGGTTGACGTTTGTTTTGATTTTGATTTTAGAGTTTCGTGAACAAAGTAAAAGACTTAACGTTCGTACGTCCGTGTTTTGTTTGTGCCCTGTCCTGTTTTTTTATATAATGATAATATAAATGAAATTAGAATGAAAAATACTTTTTCGAAATTAGATTCGCCTTTGGTTAATATTTGTAATTATTCCCATTTGCTTCAAAACAAACATTATTAATGGCAACCGATAACTAGGCATTCATTCTTTAAAAACGCAGAATGGGATGCTAGAATTATATACATATTGCTTATCCTTAATGTTTATCAAAAAATTTTATTTAGGGAAGTATTAACTAGAGCCGTTCAGTTTTAAAAGCGACTCACGACCAGAAGATATTTACAGATATAATTCAATTATCCATTTGCAAAAAAAAACAAAAAAATTCACTAATGTATATATAAGGTGCAGGCTTATTTCCGCTATTTGTTTGTTTTGTTGTTTTTGTTGTTGTTGTTGTTGTTTTTGGGTTTTTGGTCAGTTTGTTTGGTTTTAAGGAGCACAAAGACAGTAAAGGTCATATGACGCCGAAACTGGAAAGACGATTTTTGCTACCTCGGGTGTAGCAGACATCATAGCAACACCAGCGATCGAAAGCGCCTCACCTGCTGCATTGTTATTCGAACCTATCTAGTCGCCTTCTACGATTACACAAGGATTAACAATAGCTGTAATTCTTATGTCTCAACCATCAAAGGCAACCCGTCAGTCATAAGGGGAGTAGCAGTTGAAGTGGTTCCAATATGAAAGAACGAGAGAACGAGAAATATTTTTCTCTCACGCCCTTCAACATAATTCAATCCTCAAAAACTATAATTCAGACGAAGCACAAGGCACTTCTTTTCACAGCTGCCATACACTACATGTCTTTTAGTGTAATTTTTGAGAAAATAACAGAGATTACTTTCGTGCTAGAACATTATAATGATGATGATGATGATGATGAGGATAATGAGGAGGATAATGAGGATGATGATGTTGATGATGAAATAATATTACATGTACATGTATCTATAAAAAGCGACCAAAACAACATAGACCCGGTACTTTTTCGAGGAAAATGATTGACGTTGTTATGGTTCAAAATTATGTCAACATGTACTTATCCAATCACGTTTAATAAGGAGATTCGGAAACATTGATAATTACAAATAATTAGCGTTAATTGTGACAAGTTAATTAGAGACACGAACGCCGTTAACGTGCGTGCACTAACATCGATCTTGGTGATTATGTTTTAAAAGGTTTTTTTACATATCAAGGATGATTTTCAAGACTTGTTCAACATTATTATGTATGTATTCTTATTTGCTATCCCTGCATGAACAAGTTTAGCATGTGCTTGCTGATTTTTGGTATAACTTAATATGTAAAACATATAGGTCGAAATTCTGTAAAGTTGGTTTCAGAAAGTTGAAATTGTTGTGTGTTTTTTCAGTAATTTTAATGCCCGATTTTACTATTATTTATTCAGTTTTCGCAGCAAAAGGTTTTAGAAAAATGAATATGAACGTTCCATTTTAGAAATGTTTAATTATAGAAGAATGTACGTGTACGTTGAATTTTAGAAAGGTCTGGTTATAATGAAGATACGTGACCGTCCCATTTTAGAAATGTTTGATTATAAAAGAAGGTACGTGTACGTTCCATTTTAGAAATGTCTGGTTATAATGAAGATACGTGACCGTCCCATTTTAGAAATGTTTGATTGTAAAAGAAGGTACGTGACCGTTCCATTTAAGAAATCCTTGATTATAAAAGGAGTTACTTTACCGTTTCATTTTAGCAATGTTTTGTTATAAAAAAGGTACGTGACCGTTCCATTTTAGAATTGTTTGGTTATAAAAGAATGTACGTGACCGTTCGATTTTTGAAATGTTTGGTTATAAATAAAGGCGCGTAAACGTTCCATTTTAGAAATGTTTGTTTATAAATGAAGGTACGTGAGCGTTCGATTTTAGAAATGTTTGGTTAAAAATAAATGTACGTGAACGTTCCATTTTAGAAATGTTTGGTTATAAAAGAAGGCATGTGACTATACTTTTCGAAATGTTTCGTTATAAAAGAATGGTGCGTGAACGTTCCGTTTAAGCAATATTTGGTTATACAAGAAATTGCTGATAAGGGTCGTGTGTTCTGACAATGTTTGGTTATAAAAGTGTGTGAATATTCCTTTTAGAAATATTTGGTTTTAAAAGGAGGTGAATGAACGTTGCGTTCTAGAAATATTTGATTACAAGAGAATGTGCTTAAAAGTTGCATGAACGTTCCGTTTCAGAAATATTTGGTGATAAAAGAAAGCGAGTAAACGTTCCAGTGTAGAAATGTTTGATAATATAAGAAGGTGCGAGGAGTTCCGTTTAAGCGATGTTTGGTTGTAAAAGAAAATGCATTTTTTTCTGTATAACTATGTTTTCTCATAAAAACGGTGCTTTGACGTACCGTTTTAGAAATGTTTGTTGATGATAGAAGGTGTGTGAACGTTCTGTTTTAGTAATGTTTGATTATAAAAAAAGATTAAAGAGCATTCTGTTTGAGGAATTTTTGTTTATAAAAGAAGATACGTGAACTTCCGTTTTAGAAATTTGGTCATACAAGGTACGAATGAACGTTCCTTTTCAGAATTGTTTTGTCATAAAAGATACAAATGAACGTTCCGTTTTAGCAATTCTTGGTCATAAAAGATACGAATGAACGTTCCGTTTTAGAAATGTTTGGTCATAAAAGATACGAATGAACGTTCCCTTTTAGAAAAGATTGTTTATAAAGAAAGGTGCGTGAATATTTAGTTTTTACATTATTTCGTTCTCGTAATAGTTAAGAACATAAAGTTGTGCATCTACAGTCCTTTTCGTCAAGCATGCCTACTTTATTGACTGATTGCCCAATCTTATTATAGAATTTCATTGCGATATTCATATATTTTAGTATTCTTCATTATTTACTTTACTCATGGTTGTTAGTGTTTTTAATTAAATCACGTTTGCTTCAGGTATTTTTTTCACATGCCAAAGCATTGATGGGTTCAATCATTTATTCCTGTGTACGTTTAACCATCATCTGATCAACGTAAAATTACAATGCAAGAGTGGGACCAAAATAGATATTGTAGGTGGATGGTTGATTGATTCAAATGAAACATATGCATGTACAAAAAGCAATTCCGCGACAGAATCAGAGAAAAGACACAGAGATCACTTGTGGAAAGCAATGTGGCACAAAATTCTCTTAGGATGTGTGGCTGAAAGTGATTGTAACATTCCACTTTTTCCAGAACGTTTTCCATATAAAAAAAATTCCGAAGGCATCGAAATTGAATACAATTGCCTCTCAGGTAAAACATAATATATTTTCATGACGTTAAAGAGACATGGTACTTGACGGTAGAAAGACATAGTGTGAAAAACATGGTCAGTGACGCTATAGAAACATGGCTGTTGACGTAAAGAAGACATAGATGGTGAAGTTAGAGAGACATGGTTGTTGACGTAAAGAAGACATAGTTGGTGACGCTATAGAAACATAGTTGATGACGTAAAAGAGACATTGATGGTGACGTAAGAGAGACATTGATGGTGACGTAAGAGAGACTTGGTTGTTGACGTAAAGGAGACATAGTTGGTGACGTTACAGAGACATGTTTGGTGACGTAAATGAGACATGGTTTGTGACGTTAAAGAGACATGGTTGACGTAAAAGAGAGAAAGTTGGTGACGTTAGAGAGACATGGTCTCTTAGGGAGACATGAGACGTGATGACACGTAAAGGAGACAATTCGGTGCCGTAAAAGAAAAATGATGACATAGTTGTTGACGTTACAGAGACATGTTTGGTGACGTAAAAGAGACATGATTTGTGATGACGTTAGGGAGACATGGTTGATGTAAAGGATACATGTTCAGAGACGCTATAGAAACATGATTGTTGACGAAAAGGAGGCATAGTTGGTGACGTTAGAGAGACATGGTTATTGACGTAAAGGAGATATAGTTGATTACTTAAGACAGACATTTTTGTTGACGTAAAGGAGACATGGTTTGTGACGATAAAGAGAAATGTTTGCTTAGTTTAGAGAGACATTGTTAGTTACAATAGAGATTTTAGTGACGTTACAGAGAAGCCATTTTTGATGTAGAGAGACATGGTAGTGGACGTTGAAAATACATGATTGTTATATAAGAGAGACATGGTCGATGACCTAAGTCAGATATAATTGTTGACGTAGGGGGTATATACTTGGTGACGTTAGACAGTTATGGTTGTTGACGTAAGGGATATGTAGTTATTGACGTAAGGGAGATATAGTTGTTGACGTAAGGGAGATATAGTTGTTGACGTAAGGGAGATATAGTTGTTAACGTAAGACAGTCATAGTTGTTGATATGGAACGCCATAGCTGTCTCATGTTATTACATTTCTTTTTATCTTGCCCAGAAAGCGTCTTATTATGTCAAATATAAGCGTTGTAATGCCATTGTAATTTGTCGACTTGTCTAAACATTGCCTTATTATACCTAACAATAGTCTTATCTCTTCAAAATGTGATGTTGACTTGTGTTAACATTGTATTATTATTACAAACAGTAGTGTTATCAGGTCAAAAATGTCGTTTTGGCTTGTCTGAAATGTGTCATATTATGTCAACTAGTCGCATTATTTGGTCAAATTGCGGAGCTGTTTTTTCAAAAGACTGTCTGATCATTTGAAACAGTAGTGTTCTCTTGTCAAAATTTGGTGTTGACTTGTAAAAGCACAACTTTATTTCATCGAACTGCCATGTTATTTTGTCAAAATACGGTGTTTAAATGCTTAAACATTGTCTTATTGTGTTAATAACAACTGTGTTAATTTGCCAACGTACACTACTGAAATTGTCTTTTTATATCAAGTATTCGAATTATCTTGCCAAAATGGGATGTTGACTGGGCTAAATCATGCCTTATTATGATAAACTGTATGCTATTTTGTCAAAAAGCGGATCTGACTGGTTTAAACACAGTCTTATAAAGTCAATAAATTGCAGTATCTTGTCGAAATGTGGTAATGACTTTTATTATGTAAAAACAGAAGTGTTATATTGTCAAAATTTGATGTTTTCTTGTAAAAGAAAAGAAAGAGTCTTATTATGTCTAATAATTGTGTAAATTTCTTTAAATTTAGAAAGCACTGTCTGATTTTGCTAAACTGTCCCCGTTATCCTTTTTACCAAACTGCCATGTTATTTTGTCAAAATACGGTGTTTAAATGCCTAAACATTGTCTTATTGTGTCAAACAACATTGTTAATTTGCCAACGTACACTACTGAATTGTCTTTATATATCAAGTATTCGATTTATCTTGCCAAAATGGGGTGTTGACTGGGCTCAATCATGCCTTATTATGATAAACTATATGCTATTTTGTCAAAAAACGGATCTGACTGGTTTAAACACAGTCAATTGCGGTATCTTGTCTGAATGTGGTAATGACTTTTATAATGTAAAACAGAAGTGTTATATTGTCAAAATTTGATGTTTTTTTTTTTTTTTTGTATAAGAAAAGAAAAAGTCTTATTTTGTCTCATAATTGTGTAAATTTCTTTAAATTTAGAAAGCGCTGCCTGATTTTGGTAAACTGTCCCCGTTATCCTTTTTTACTCTATATTTTACCGCTCCGCGCGGGCTCTGGTCACATGTTACTAAATTTTGACAACATCGCATCTGGACAGGATAACACGATTATATGACATAATGAGACGGCGTTTAGACATGTTAACGTCATAAACTGGTAAGTCAATGATACTGTATTACATAATGATACTGTGTTTCAACAAGTAAACTCCACATATGAAAAGGAAAAAAGATACTTCGCCATAAAAAAAACGATGTTTAGTAAAAATAACACCGAAACTTGACAAAATAAAATGACACTTTGACAAAAAGATAGGTAATTTAAGACAAGTCATCACCACGTTTCGACAAGATTATATGACTATTTGACATAATAAGACGAAGTTAAACAAAGTGAATCTGCATTTGGACATAATAGCATGACAGTTTGGCAAATTAAAATAGCGTTTGAACAGTTCATAACCATAATTGGTAAAGATACCACCATTATTTCACATAATAAAACAGTGTTTAGGCCGGTTAACATAAAGTTTGGATATAATAGCATGGCGATCTGAGAAAATAAGGCAGTGTTTAGACATGTCGATACCATCTTTCGACAAGTCAACAATACTGTTTGACATAATAAAATAACATTAACACAAACAAACAAAATTTATTGTCAAGTCAACATTAGTATTACACATAATAAGTATATTTTTAGACAGGATAACAACAGTTTTAGACAAGACTGCATGATGTTTAGGCACAATTAGACAGAATAACACCACCTCATACAAAGCAACAAAACAGTTTAATAAAACAGGACAGCACTCAGCCAGGTCAATATAACGGTTGAACAAGATATCACTACTAGCCGACATAATAAGACATGAGTTTGACAAGTTGACACTAAGTTCCGACAAGATAACACTACTGTTTCACATAATAAGATAATTTCTAGACAAATTACCACCACAGTTTGACAAGACAGCATGATATTTTAACATAAAAGACATTCTTTAAGCAAGATAACACCGAATTTGAACACAATGACATGACAGTCTGACAAAATGTGACGGTGTTTAGACAAGTCAGTATCACATTTGGACAAGACAAAACGGCAGTATTACATAATACAACAGTGTCATAACATACCAGGATCACATTTGGACAAGGTGACACCAACTTCCGACAAGATAACACTACTGTTTCACATGATAAGACAATTTCAAGACAATTCAATACCACATTTAAACAAGTCTTTGTTCAGGCATAATGAAATCCTAATTCGAAAAGATGGCGTACATGTTAGACAGATTAAGACTTCCATTCGGCATGTTAACACCGGATTTGCACATGATAACATGGCGTTTTGAAATAATAAGACAGTGTTTAGACAAGTCAGCACTACGTTTTGACAAGATTAAATTAATATTTGACCTAATAAGACTTCGTTAAGACAGGTTCCCATAAGCCAACACTTCTATTATACATAATTAGACGCTTTTAGGGAAAGATAAAACTAAATTTAACGACATGAGGCAGCTATGGCGTTCCATATGTTGACGTTAGGGAGATATAGTTGTTGACGCAAGGGAGATATAGTTGTTGACGTTAGACAGTTATTGTTGTTGATACAAGGGAGATGTAGTTATTGACGTAAGGGAGATATATTTGTTGACGTAAGACAGTTATGGTTGTTGACTATAGACAGACATTGCACTAACCACACCTTGATAGTCCAGTATTGCTGGATGAGTACTTAATATAGTATCAGTTACTGATTGTTAAGATTTTTCTACACCGTTAAATCTAAAATTTTCAATAATTTAACATTGAATTATCAATGAGTTATCTTAGATCATTAATCAAGGGTAAGTAAATTATTTACACTTAAAGATTTAATAAACCTTTGAACATACAGATGGTGCGTTCTTGCAATTTTGCCATCAACGATCTGATCCGGAACCATTTAATGGACATCCAAATGGTATTAACCTATTCTACAAAGGCGATGAAAGCACTTCAAAGCTGTGTTCATGTGATGTTGAAACAAATGTACAAATAGGGACATTACTGACAATATTCCCAACAAAAAGGTACACTATTTATTTGTGTTTTTTTAATGCGTTAATTAAACCCTCTGACAATTGTACCTTAAATAGTTATAAGAATTGACAAAGTTAGCATGAGCATAATTGTCTGTCTGTCGTGCTTGGCGTCATGTCAAAGACTTTTCAAATTAAGGTCACCTTTCGATTATGTTTTCTAGAAACGCTTCTTGTACACTTTTATATTAATATACGATATATTTGTATAATTAATGGGAATCCATTGAGTCGTGCACAAAAGCCTTTAACATATAATTTTATTTTCTTACATAAATCAGCTTCAGCATTCAAAACAGAAAGATATGCAAAAATAATAGTAAATACACTCAGAAATAAATTTATAAATCGTATTTTTGTATTTTTCTAACCAACATCGGAAGCTTTTTAATTTGGTGTCATTTTTCACAATTCGAATAATTATTCTTGAAAATGGAATGAGTGAATGATCTATTAGACTTAAATTTTACACACACAAAAATTGGTCTATACCAACATCAAATGGAGCATTAGTCTCAAAAACTATATTTCTAGTCCCATAATGTTAAAAAAATATCTGTGGAATTCCGTTAAAGCTATGGACTGCATATTGCTTTTTTTAGTTCCAAGGTACAGAATATGAATATGTATAGTTATCGGATTAAGTATTTTTTCTATTTAAAGTATGGATCTCACAGTTAAAAGTGGAGGTAAAGAAACACTTTACAATAACGAAGTGTTAATCAAAAAGTCAATTCAAAATGGCAACAATACAGGGAAACAGAAACAGACGTTTGTTGTGGATTATGCCACAGAACCTGATGACGCTGTTCCATTTCTCCTTCTTCGTTTCTCAAGTATGTTAATATTTGTTATCCCCTTATGCCAAACTTCTATTTAGGGACCTTGATATCTTGCTTTTGAATCACGCCGGATATCTGCTTCCTTACTGAATTATCTAACCAGAAATCGAAGCAGTGTTGATACAGGAAGCCGAAATACAAGCTTATACATGCGGGGATCGAATACACAATCACCGGATTAGGAGTCCTTCACCAATACAGGAATATTGCATTGTATATACTAGGGTCGTACAGCGGGACGTTTAACAAAAATTCGAGATTTCTTTTCAATTATTATAAAAAAATATGTAATATATTGTCTCGTGATGCAACGGCTATTATTCAAGAGTGTGTTGGAAAAATAAATCATTCACTTGCCCCTATACAGTATACATGTACAATGAAACTTTAATCTTTTAAGAGAATATGTGCATGATATAAATAACACATGGCTGTCGGGGTCATAGAAAATATTGTAAGCCCGAGAAATGGTATATAATACTGAGGCAAATCCAAAGGGTAATATGCCAGTTCAAGGGTTGGCAATATCTTCTCTCACCCCGAAAGTAATTTTTTTATTATATTATACCGAAAAACCTAAAACTGCAATATTTGTTAAGTACGCAGTCAAGGAAATAAATAGAAAACACATTCTCATTTTTTATAATTGAATTTTACTCAAAACAATAAAATTAACACATACAGTTCAAGAATAATTCTATACCTTTAAAGTCTGGTTAAACTTTAATAATTTGCTGAATATGGAATTATGCAAGAGTAATGCGCCCAAGGATGATATAAGAAATATTCCTAGGTGAATGACATTCAATCAGAACACATAGAAGGCCTATTGGAGTTTAACATTACAGGATATATTGAGGTTTCATAAATAATTTTGATTACCTATGCTTGTATATTGTACTGATAATTTATGTCATATTTATATGCTGTATTCAATTATTTCAGTTCCTGCCAAACATGGCAATATATCTATACGTTGTCGACAAGAAAACAGTATGTTTAAAATTCTGTATACTTTAATTTGATAAGCATTGAATACAATGTGTCTCAGCGAAAAATAACATACATTGCATCATTAAAATGAGACTGAAATTTTAAAAAATAAATAAATAAGAAAGCTCGCATGAATCGAACTCGATCAAACTAGTCTGCAATTTCTCTTTTAAACTTTCATTTTATTGCCATCGAGGGACTATAGCCTTTTCATTGCATTGCTAAAAAAGATATGTTTTTTTGTGTTTTTTTTTTTGTTTTTTGTTTTTTTGTTAACAAAAAAAATGTTGATGCAAATTCATGTCTACATTACAGACATTACAGAACAGTTGCTTTCATCGCCTCCTCCAACGGATAAAACGCCAACACACAATTACCAAATACCAGCAACAACAAATATAATAGGATATGCAATTACAGCAACAGTAACAGCAATGTCCACCATTTTGATTATTGTTATTATTGTTGTCCTTTGGAAGAAGAAACAAGGTAAGAAATATAAGATATACGTTTCTGATATCGTTTTTACCCCTTAATGAAGTAGTGACTGCAATTAATTTAGCAAGTGCTTCGTATTGTTCAACAATATTGAACTGGCACTTCATTACCTTTCGTAAAGGTCATTTGAATAAACACTGACCAGTATCTAACGAATACATCGATTCGGATATATTTGCTAATTTCACTCGTCATTCAGTGAGGTGTGGTGTACTGGTATAGTGTCGGACTAACGATCTACAGGTCTCTGGTTCGATTCCTTTCTAACAACAACTGTATTAAGTCAAATTCGTAGTTCCGATATAAACTATAAATACAATATAAATATATTATATTTATACGTATATACAGAAACCGATTGTCAAAATTACATTTTTTTTCTTATTATGCTTCCCGAAGGGCGAGCATATAGTCGCCGCTTTGTCCGTCCGTTCTTCGGTCCGCTATTGGTGTCCGGGACAAAACTTTGAAACAAAAATAGGTATCAACATGAAATACTGTAGGCCTAAATCTCATTGAGAAGATAAGCAGTGAGTCTGCCTTGTCTTATTTTGGAATTATTGCCCTTTGCTAGTTTTTATACTTTGAACATTGTCCGGGACATTATTCTAAAACTATAAGAGATATCATCATAATACCTTGTAGGCAGATAGATCTTATTGAATAAAAGTGCAGTTAAAAAGAACCTTAACTCTGCCTTGCTTAATTTTGGAGTAATTGCCCGTTGTTTTTTTTGTTGTTGTTGTTGTTGTTTTCACTTTAAACTTTGTCTGAAACAAAGCTCTGAAACCATAAGAGGTATCAACAAGACGTAGAATAATCTCATTAAATAGAGGTACAGTGCAAACTCTGCCTTGCTTAATTTTGTAGTTATTGCCCTTTGTTCATTTTTACATTTTGAACTTTGTCCGGGACATAACTCTGTCACTACACTGACACTACAAGAGGTATACTTTTCTGTGTCCTAAACCTACTTCGGGAGCATCACCCGGTTCAACCGGCTCTTGTTTTTTTAAACAGGAACAAAGCCTAATAAAAAAGACGTTATGCCGACTTCTCCAAAAAAATGCACAAGAAATATGCAGGCATCATTCTCGGTGACCTGCAGCGACAGGTATTGTATATACCAGATTATTGTTTCTTAACTATATTAATCGTTTCTACGATTACTGTCTTAAAATAAACTTGTCTATCTATAAACCATTTGTCATTCAAGGGCAAAAAACGCTCGTATGAACCGACTGAATTACGAACAGATAACACAGATGTGCATACACTGGCCGCGCCTCTCTAGTATATGTGTTTCATATGGCGGCTGATTGGTGTCATTCGTTTTTTTGTCCCATGACTCCGCCAAGGAAAAAGTCGAGAATTAACAAATGAAAATGGCGGGACACGCTAATAAGCGCTAAAAAGCGCTCCGGAGATTAAAACTCGCTAATAAGCAGGGACGCTAATTATCGTGTTTCCGCTCCAGACCCCGCAGTTCTATTTCTTAAATCTCGTTCCGCGGCCCCGCGGGGCGATGCTTCACTTATCAAACTTCGCACTGCGCCCCCGTTTTTAGCGTGTTTTTGCTCCGCACCCCCGCCATTTTAACTTGACATGTTAATTTTCGACTTTTTCACTTTGCGGAGTCGCGGGGCGAAAACACGAATGGCACAAATTAGTCACCATAGTTCGAATGCTTTGAGAATTAATGCATAACATCCGTTTCGAGCATCTATACATGTATATTGTTATATATATCTTGAAAAACGGGTGCAAAGTATGATCAGTTATTATATATATCATTAATACATTTGTACTTCATTTGCTCCTTACAGGAAAATATCATCCAAAATTTATCAAAACAAGGAATGTTATGTATTGTATTTTAAGGACATATAGACAAATATAACGTCCGTTCTACATATATTTCGCATGCAACAAAACTAAGAACTTATCAGATTACCAGGCATTGGAGCTGTGCCATGGCAAAACCAACATAATGGGTTGCGACCAGCATGGATCCAGACCAGCCTGCGCATCCGCGCAGTCTGATCAGGATCCATGCTGTTCGCCATTAGTGTCTCTACTTGTAATAGAGTTTGTAAGCGAACAGCATTGATCCTGATCAGACTGCGCCGATGCGCAGGCTGGTCTGGATCCATGCTGGTCGCAAACCCATTATGTTGGTTCTGTCATGACGCGGCTCATTTATTGTTTATTTTCAGTCATTCATATGCAGACATAGGAAGTATTTCGGATTATCGTCATTACGTTATGCCGGATGAAACATCTCAGCAAAGTTTTAAGATGAAAATATGTCTGGAAAATGTTCGTGATTCAAAAGATAATGACCGAAGAAAACTGAATGAAGACGCAATCGCCCAAAGGAAACAAAAGACGCTACCAAAAGCGGAAAATGCAAACAAAGTTGACTCCGTAATCAATAACGCTGTCAAAGATATAGATATTGTAACAAAGAAAAATAAAGATGAAGACAGCCCAGCCGGTATGCATCTTAGGAATAAGGTTGAACAAGAGCAGCATTTACCTGAAATACGAGACAAAAGTAAAGCGAGAGTGTCAGGCGACAAACACAACCTTGAAAACGATAAAAAGAAAATTTCCAGGGAGCATTACGATCCATCTGGATATCTAGATTTAGACATCGCCGAGAAGACAAGTCATCAGTATCTACAGAAGTGGATGAAAGAAATCTACGCAGTCGAGCAAAAGGCAAAACTAGAAGACAAACAACGGAAGGACACAGAGGCGCCACAAGTTGGAAAGAGAAAAGTTTTTATTGCTAAAACACCTGGACGAGAAAGCAACAATTTATATTCTAACGTAGGCGATCACAGAATTGCCTTCTCGGACGAGGAGTCTTTGTTTAGTAACCAACTTTAAGAAATAACGGCAACTCTTGAGTATTTTTCCATCTTATTTCGGCAAATTACTACTATTTTATTTGCTTCGATGTGAATGAATTTATAAATTTCATTATTAAAAGATGTTGTATTTGTGTGAAAGAGACTGGAATGAGAGTTGACTGAATCTGACCTCTGTATTTTGACAGTCCTGGGATACGTGTATCAATATCAGTATGTGAGTATATGAACTTCATCTGAATGCTTTTTGATTGTCTTACCTCATTATATCGTTGGTGCAATTATCTAGTAATAATGAAAATGACAATTATTGTTAATGTTTAGTAATAAAATTTGTTTATAAAACTGTTCAATAGATATACATGTATGTAATATTTGTTTAAGAAACATTCTCTATGCTATAATCTTAGTGAAAAAATAAAAGTTTTTGTATACTGTATACTGGAAATAATTTCATTGTTAGAAACATATAAATAACCTACTGGTTCAAAAAGTCATTAGCTTTTGTCACGAGTATATGATATTATATTCTTATAATGAAAATTATCGTATCATTACCAGAAAACATAATGGATAAATATAAGTTAATTTCATCTGCTGAATTTTATTTTTAATTTTGGATCATTAAAAATGTTTTAAAACTTAAATACAATTACAAATGTATCTATAACCAACATTGTTATTATATAATTGTCAGGCGACTCAGGTAAGTACTGTGACTATATATTTATATATACAGAACTTTGTCTGATCCGTTGGTCTACCTACTATGCATAAGACAGCACTGTTTATACAAAACAAAATATTCCACGGAAAAAAAAGAACACAGTTTTACTGTTAGACAATATAAACCTCAACTTTATTTTGACAGATCCCTGACCTGTCCAAAATTCTTAGATTCACGGATGCAATAAGAATTTAACCACATTTTATTTTCTAACAAAAGAGCACATGTCAATGTATGTGGTCAAATTTATTGTTATTCAAATAAAAGGTCAGAGTAGGGATCTATCAATTAAAAGGCACACATTTCGGTAATCTATAAAGTAAGAAAAATATAAAGATTGGAGGAAAGAAACGTATTATTCATTACGTTTCCGCTGCGTATGTTGTTAGCTTACTATAATAATTAAAACCAATTCATACCTTAAGTTTTGTACGAGATATACTATAAAAATTCAATTTACTAATTACCATATATTCAATATGTTTTTTAAACAAATTATTAAATGTTTTAAATCTTACTTGATCACTTGCTTCTAAATCCTTAATGAAAGAGTGTCCTTAATCTTTACATAAAATCGGCATATATTGTAAAATAATCAGATTAACAGTACATTTGAAAAGTGTTAAAGTTCACTTGTACGTCATAAATATTGTTATGCTATTAAAAGTGTCACAATTAACCTGCTGGTTCGTGATAACCGGATTAAGATTTAAGTAATAGAAAGAGCACCGAAACACGAGGCTATCTGATATGTACGAAGGGGCGTAGCCCCGAGTATAAATCAGATTGCCGAGTGTTTTGGTGTTCTTTCTCTTTTGTATCATAGTCAAACATAAAAACACGTTCCCTGTTGTCACAATTTTAAACCCCGAGAAAAAGTAACCAATGATCGAGCATCTGAATATGATATTTCTGCCGCTTTCCCTTTCTCTGCCGTCACAATATGTAAAAAACTATTAACCACTTCTTAAGAAAATGCATGAAAAGTACCGAGGCTGCTACTGCTACTCCTCATCAATATGTACTCATTACTCGCGAAAACGTAAACTAGTTCATACATTATTATTATCAGTCCTAAAAACTTTGCAGATCTATTGGAAAATAAAGGAGTGCGATGTTGAAAAACCCTCAAGAAATCTGACAGGACGTAATGACAAACTTGGTAGAGAACCCACGAAAATAGTTGATAATAATGTATATGTACATGTATATATTGTTCGTCAATACACTTAGAATATGGTATACAATATTTAAACAATCTAAATATATCATAAAATATGGAACTACTTTTACATCCCTTAATTAAATTATAAAGACATGTCACACTAAATATTGCATAACACTAGATGAAATTCATTAGTAAACTTTGATTTGATTTATGACTAAGAAAATAGTTTTTCATATACTAAATGTGTTGTCAAGAAAGAAAAAAAAATCAAAGATACGTACACACAGTATTTTAATTATCTTCAATGTCACTATATTCTAACATTTTTATGTTGTTTTGCTTCTTGTAAACTACCAGCATTTATAAATAGATTCATTAAATTTCTAGTAAAATTATTTAAACACACAAAAGTGTAAATATTCACAAATAACACTACCGGTGAAAACACTATTAAAACTAATTGTTTTTCATTTAAGATGCATATAGGAATAGAATAAATTATACATACAAGTGTTTTGAATGCATTCAAACCTTATTCGTTTACTAATTATGAAGATTTCTCAATTTTAGTGATAGCTCTTAACTAGTTTCTATTTATTCACATTTAAAAGGATTGTTTTCCTTTCATTTTGTACTTTGTAGCATTCGCATTCGTCAGTTAATAACCCTGCATTTGAGCAAGACTTTTTAACCATGAATACAAGCCATCGTTTATCATTAAAATGTTTTAAAGTTATGTTTTATGTTAGTATTTATTGAAACTAATCAAATTAATAACAACTAAAACTGACAGAGTAAAGGCACAAGATTATTTTATTTACCCATAACAAAGCAAATTGTCTGTTCGTAAATTACCTTTAGTACTATCTTAAATTTTTCTCTATCATATACTTTACTAAACAATATAAACTCGATCAATTTGAACCGTATGTACATTTGCTTTACTTACTGTAGTTATGAAGTTTCTTGTATGGAAGACAAAATACAACTTCATTTTTTAAACATTTGAGACAAACCTTTTCACGTTTGACGTTGTGTGTTCAATTGACAGGTATCAAAGGTATCTATTATAATTGCATTATCACAAAATGCACTTGCCTTTAGTTTTTTTAAGAGAAAAGATGTGCTCTTTTGTGAGACATTAATTTACTCCCAACCTTCTAGAAAACAAGTCTTATTATCAAAACAAACAAAGTTATTGCCAGCAGGTAATTGTTATATGATTATGAAATGACTAAACGTATTTAAGATATATTTTCACTACTTTTAGCCTCATGCATAGTTATATTAAAGCACCTTCATGTGCGTTTACGCGCATAATTATAATTGAAATAATATAATTTTATATAGGTATTTTGTTAAGTCCATGTGCTTGAAAGCTGCTTTAGAATAGATCCTCCTCTTTTCTTCTTCTTATTAAATTAAGTTTCTTTGTGTATCTTAAATTATGACATTCCGAAACTTTATACATTTATAAACAGATAATTGTTGTGTCTTTTCTATTTAGACCCTATTCATACATGTTTCAGATAGAAACTTCTACTCAACGCCCCTTTTTGTTTGTAGGTAGTGAAGAATGTCTTCATTTTTTTAATCTACTAGTATTAACAATTGCTTTTCTATCTAAACTTCAATATTTCACATATTTTTAAAACCCGTCATATTTATAGTAAGCAATCTTATGTCAGGAAAAAGCCTTCATAAGCATTTTATGCTGTCAGATCTGATCCTATTTCAGCATTGTATTGTATGATTTCACCGATGTTTTTAAATATTGTATGTGTAAAATGTTCGAAATAAAACATGTTTTGACCAAAAGCTGCTGCCTCTTTATACATGATTGAATTTAATTTATTTTAAGAATTTTATTAACTAAAATAAATACCAAGGCTTGGTAACGATCCCAATATTTCAGTGAAATAAAAGTATTTGAAAGTCAATTCACGAAATAGCCAAAGTATCAAAAGAACATTTAAACATATTTGATTGAGTAAAGACCCAACTTTTATGTTCAGATGTCATAATATTACATATATTATTGATCATCAACGACTTTAAAATATCTTTTAATGTGTTAAGTCAATTCATTTCGATTTTATAAGCTATCAGACACTGGCGTCAATGGAAATGTTTAAATATTCCATTTACATTTGTAATCTAAGCGATAGATATTCAGTTTCTAAAGGTTTAAGATTGTTTTGGTAAATGGCGCCAGCAATGCAGGCACTATGAAAAATGCTATAATTGATATTCATCGAAGCATGAACATTGCGTTGAATAATTCAAAAATATGAAGACTTTTTCGCAGTGAATTTTTATTTATTTCAACAACAATGGAATGATAAATGTATTTCAAGGTGCTGCCTTGTTATAAGTGTTAATAGGAAACCAACTACAATTACATTTTAGGGAAAATAAAACTGTATTATAATGAAAATAGAAGGTAGTAAGTGCTTGAGGAAATATTTTGTGAAAGGTTTATTTCGAATAAAATACATATATATGTATTTAGAATATTGTTTTATTTTTGTCTCTATTAAAATTACAACATAAAAAGAACATAAATTCAAATTTCCATTAGCTTATTCGCATGCGGTTGACCATTGCAGATAAAACTAATTTGCTTGACTGTAAACACAAACACAAAGGAAACGACCCTATAAAGAAGAATTGCAAAACGCTTCTTTAATGTAAACGGTGAGGTTGACAATATTTTAAATGAAATTTACCAGGGTAAAACAAAACAATATGTACACATTTCTAAATTTCCACTACCAACACACTTTATAGCAAATGTGTGTAAAAAAAGTTCCAAGCCCGTCGTATATGCAACGTTCATATGTTTGTTTTTTTGGCGAGGAAAAGGTGCTTATTAACATGAAGCGACATATAACGCTTAAATCAGCGATTAAAAAGAAATACCAGATCACCCCTTTTGTTTACAAAATTTTGTTCTAGAAATCATATGTAGCTGGTAAAATTCTTTTGCAAAGCACCTTATTTGATTTAGGTCCTTTTAAAGTTTGGAAAAATAAGATTATTATGTTAATGGACGACGCCATTATTGTTCCAGCATAATATCTTGAAATCGTGATAATTACCTTCTCGATATTGATTTTTGATCGAAAAATAAAAACAGAATCACTTTCAAAATTATGAAATCGCGCCGATGACTGGCTGTTTGAAAAGTCTCGATAAGTGACTTTGTAATTCGTGGTGGTCAGATCTAAATGGAAAGCGTTATTTAGAGCTGATTTTAATCAGATTGTATGTAGTAAGTATTTAATCAATAGCAAAGTATAATATAATCTTGCCAACTTAGTAAAATATTTCAGTTCAGATGTGTAAAAAGGTTAAAGACAGCCAAAAAATTTCATATAAATTCTTGAAATCAACCAGTACTTAGAAATGTGCGGCAAGTTTTTTGTGTTTTTTTTTTTTTTTTTTGTTTTGTTTTTTATGTATTTTTATTTTGTTGCTGGTTTTGTTGTTCTTGTTGTTTTGTTGCATAATAACTAAGTCAAGTTATTTCCTTTGTTTCACAAATGAAGTGTCGACAAAGTTGCCGTCTTTCTTGAGAACTTCAGTGTTTATTCTTATTTAAAGTACTAGTTCTTTCATGTTTTTTTTTGTATTTCCTTGTCGTGGCAATCCATGAGATACAACTTTCTTTTATAATTTTGGTAATACATTCTATAAATATGAAAGCTTTTATCCGAAAATATTTGGCTTCAGGCGTGTCAATCTTTTGCTTCCATATAAATTTATCAGGGGTTCACACGCGTTTTATATCAAATAAAAACAGTTTAATGCTATTTTTGTGCGCATCACGATTTGGAAGTTGACCTTCTGACTAATAGTCGGAAATTCTATCGTATTAACGTGAGGATTTTCACAATTAAAATCAGATTAGCTCTTCTTTGAAGTAATCGATATCAACAGTTTCAATGTGTGCATTTAGATAAACACATGCACACTGTTGCACACTTTTATCAGATAACAATATTCACAGAAAAAGAATAAGTTATTTTTTCACAAAGCAACTCCTGTGAAAAGTTCATCCTATACCTATTCGTGTAGGTTTAATCGGTCGAGACATTTTTATACATGAATTGTTTACTCATAAGTTGCAATGCCAAACAATTGCAATGCTAAAACAGTCTGTTACATACCTCAATATTTCTTATTGAAGCTATTAACTTCAATCATTTCCGGT